CTATATGGTGGTGTATACATGAACAACATTATGGGCCTGATAGCATTTCTTGCCCCGGTTTTCGTTAGGCATTTGTGGGCCGATGTTTTCGGCGAAATTTTGGTGGTTTTGATCGTCTGCATCTTGATGACTGTGCTCACGAGCATGCGGACAACTTTTACTCGTCTCACGGGCTGTCTTGTGCTGCTACTGTACCCGATTTCGTTGGCCTTGGTTTATTTGCTTACTACATCTTTCATGTGATGAGGCCTTTACAAGAACAAAATCAGATTATTTAGATTGTTGTGTAAAGTTATGTTAGTGGAGTGATGTTTTTGTTGAGGGTCCTTTTGTCACAAGTTTGCTCTATTTTAGCTGCTCATTTGCTTGTATTTGGAATTGTGTCATGGCTTTTGGTAGTCGTAGTCCCAAGTTAAAAGAAACATGCTTTGTATAATTGTAGGATTTATTATTGTCAGGACATATATATAACGTGGAGTATTGGCCTCTTACACGTTAGATTAGAGGTTTGCCGAATTTGAACCTCTAATTTATTAGTTGAGATTTGAAGTGATATTTTGAGACTTTTTAAGATTTTCAAATTTGGAGGTGAGATTTGAAATGAGATTTCATATAAGTTTTCTTAAAAAGTCTTAACAAATTCTTCATATATTTTACTTGCGCTTTAAAATCTATTGTATAATTGTTGGCAAGAAAAATTATGTCAATTGTTTTATTTATATTTATATTGTTCATTTTTATTATTAATAAAATTTATAAAACATCATATACTCATTATTATTTAACTTATGATATTAAATATTATATACACACATAAAATTTATACACATACATAAGGCGAAGTACCGACTGTATTTTTCGCACGGCCTGGCTAACGTTCAGTGGAGGTCGGGCTCACCTTTAATTCGAGCCATTAGCAGGGTGTGGCCCGATGTTTTGAGAGGGGTTAGGTGGCGAGTAGGTAATGGTGCAACGACCAGGTTTTGGATGGACCCTTGGCTCGACAACACTGGCCCGCTGCTTGGATACGTCTGTCACCCTGCGCTGGATGTAAATTTTGGGGAGTCGGTGGCCGACCTTGTTGACGACCATGGCAGGTGGAAGTGGAGTCAGCTTCACGGACTCCTTCCCTCCTCCGTGATCCTCCGGATAGCAGGGACCCGACCACCGCACGAGAAGGATGGTGATGATCGAATCGTTTGGGGTTTCTCAGAGGACGGGCAATTCACAACAAAGTCGGGGGTATCGAGCCTTATCTCAACCGGCGACCAACTCTGATAAGCTGCTTTGAAAATTAATCTGGCGCTCAAGCTCCGCAACATACTCGCCATTTTCTGTGGCTCGCGGCTAACGGCCGCCTTCTCACTAACGAGGAACGCGTGCGCCGGCACCTTGCGGCTGCGGAGGACTGCGACTTTTGTGGTGCGAGCGAATCGATACTACATGTCCTGCGGGACTGCCCATATACCAAGCATCTGTGGAATCGGTTGCTCCCAGGCGATGATAACGCTGCTTTCTTCCAACAGCCCCTAGTGAGCTGGTTGCGCAAGAACCTAGCGACACGTGGGATGGGCGAGTTTCAGAACTGGAGTAGCATTTTCTCTATTACGGTTTGGCATGCATGGAAATGGCGGAACGAGAGGATCTTCAACAATCAGACGCTTAGTAGTGAAGCACGGAGGGTGGAAATTGTGAACTTGGTTGATAGTTATGCACGTGCCGAAGCAGCGTATGTGAAGGCGGGGGCCGCGTTATATGTTACACGCATGATTTCTTGGGCCCCACCGGAACCGGGATGGATTAAGGTGAACACTGATGGGGTGTTTGATAATCTCACAGGCTTGAGTAGTGCGGGTGGAGTGCTTCGAGATGATTCGGGTGGTTGGATCGAGGGGTTTCTTATGAATATTGGAGCCTGCACCATTACAGGAGCCGATCTCTGGGGATTACTTCAGGGGCTTCAGTAGGCTTGGGACAAGGGGTACTGCCAAGTGATTGCTGAGATCGACAGTCAATGCGTGGTGCGAATGGTAATGAGCTCGAAAGGTACGTTTGGGTCACATGACACCTTGGTTAGGGCCGTTCGTCGTTTGATCGGGCGTGAGTGGAACGTCAGGGTATTGCATGTGCATAGGGAAACTAATTTTGCAGCTGACCACTTGGCGAGCTTGGCGGCATCTTGTCCGATTGGGTTGCAGAGGATAACCTCACCTCCTATCGACCTTATTCCTTGACTTGATCACGACATCATTGGGGTGTCGTACCCCCGTCGAACTCTAGCATAATAGGCCTTTGGCCTCTTTCTTTGTAAAATAAATAAATAAATAAATAAATAAAGGTATGTCACCTTTGTTATTTTCATTTACCAACGCGTTGAAACTTAAAAAATTGTGAGCTTTTCTCAATAAAAGATGAAATAAATGATCGTGCAATCCGTTTTGGACCCTAAAAAATTCGAGTAACAATAAAGGTTTTGGCATGCATATATGTCTACTTGCAGACAGCATAATAAATCATTACCATGGTAGACCAAGTCTCTTAATAATAAAAATATTGTTCTTATGCCCAAGTCTAATTTGAGCACGTGATTATTATTTATTCCAAATATTTTATTCAACAAGGAAAAGGACAAAATTGTTCGTAAATGCGAAAAACCCACAATATGAAAGGTAAGAGAAACCTCACATGATTCATGAATGGGAAGAAAACCAAAACACGCACTAGCTCTATACTTTTTTTACATTTATTAATATCAAATTTCCTTTTAAAATACCAACTTAATTAATGTAAATTATTAACAGTAATAATGTTATTAGATTGCTAAAGGCATCTCCAATGCTCAAATATTGTTGTGGTAAATTACATTCCACATCAATATATTTAGCAATGTCACAACTTTTCATCCTTCGATGTTGATCACAATGTTGTGATGATGTGGACATAATTAATGTCTACAATGTAGAGAAGAATCTGAGTCATCTACATTCTCCTCCACACTCTAGCTAGCCAATAAAAAGAAAATAGAGAATTATTCATACCAATTTAAAATTATTTAATTATTTTTTTTACTACATATTACAAAATGTTAATATTGTAGTTAATCTACATTGTGCACTGGAGATAATTTTTTAATTTCATAGTTGTAAACTTAATATTTTTTCTACATAGTTCACAATCAATTTAATTTATTGACATTTGTCAAAAGTCATTCTATAACAATATTCGTACCCAAATGTCACAGTTTAATTACAAAATTAGGTAAAAGAAATATAATATTGCACAATATAAATTTATGTTTTCTCTAAGAATGTGTGATTAAAGTTATTAAATGAAACGAGTAATATTTTAGTTCAGCTTGACTCGCCTTGTTATGGCTCGAGCTCAGCTCATCTCATTTATGTAGCTTGACTTTTGTTTTGTCAATGAACTGAACTCAACTTATTAAGACTTGAAAATAGGGATCGACATATCTCGTTAAGGCTAAAAAATATAATTTGTATGTAATTTAATGTCTTTAGCTCGACTCAATAATATTGACAAATGAACAGAGATCGACTCGATTCGTTTGCATCTCTTGGTGCGACTATCTAAAATTAGGCAGTCTAATAGCAAAATGTATTAATGAATGTGTTGACTTCTTCGTTCTATAATATCATTGCATATTTGCATCAAAACGGCTCCTATAGATATACATAGTTTACTAATATATCATGTTTTGAATAAATAACATAAATAAAGTATAACACTATTTTATATTATAAATATAAAATTTGTTAAAATACGAAGAATTCACTGGTGTAACCATGCATAAAACCGCAAAAAACATGGAATCTTCTTATAATTTAATGTGTTTTAGATGGTTACCACACCCAAATGTAATACTACAACGTTGTTTCTTTTGCCATTTACTCTAGTAAAGAAATCAATTTCCTAGGAATTATACAATACACACTCATTCATTAGAAAAATGATATATTGCCCTTGGCTAGTGGGATTTAATCCCATTGTTTTGCCAGCTAATTAGATTTATATATATATATATTATTTCACACTTGGGTGTGATGTGAACACTTGTTGGGGAATCTTGTAACGTGGAAATATTAATACAATTATACTTCCTCTATTCTATGGGCTATGGCAGATTAAAAAATAATTAGAAGAGTGAAATAAAAAAATATTCAATGACGTGNAAATCATACGAGTTAATATTGCAAAACTATATTAATTATTAATTGAACATGACAACGAAATTTTCACCAATGGGAATTTATTTATAATCTAAATCCTCTGTCACGATATGCATATCCTCTTCCCTTCGATCTATTAAAAAAAAAAAAGTTCAATATGCTATATCTATGCATATGAAAGTAGATTATCACATTAATGTAGGTAAAAAATTTTTTAGTTAATTGTAGAAGCTCACTGCTATATTTACATTAATTAAATATAATTGTATTTTTTAATTATTCTATTATATTATAATTACTACTAATACTAAGTTTTACAGTAAATGTTATACGAAATTTGCATACTTATAAAAAATAATATTACAAATATTTTTTTCAAGTTATTTATTCTAAAATTATTTTTTTCATCTCGTTAATTATTTTTTTAATAAATAGCTAATTGGTTTTTAACCTCATAACTAAACCCCTTAAAATCACATAACAATTGCTATAATAATAATAATAATAATAATAATAATAATTTTCAACTAATTTGTTGGGTAAAAAAAAAATGAATATGTACTCATGAAAATAATTCATTGACATGATATCACACAAGCATCTGATGAGGCTGCTTGAATCAACATGCAAATAAACTATATCCTAAAATTGAATATTCTTCCACGCAATGCACTTAAAATATGTACCATTTGATTAATCCCAAGTTGTTGCCTAGGAAAAACCCAGTTGCAATAGAAAACTCTACAATTGTCTGTCTTTTTGTTCTCTTCAATTTTTTTTTTTTTTTCTTTTTTTTGGGATCAATTGTTCTTCTGGTGTACACATTAATTTCTCTTATACACACATATATATATGCAAAGTTCATCCATACTCAGTCAAGCTAATAACAACATAACATTCCAAATGGCTGCCATTGCACAAGGCTTCATATTGCTCGTCTTCTTAATTTCCATAGTCGAAGGCCGAGTCTTGAGACTTTACTCATATGATAACAATCAGTACTTAATCTCAGATGGAGTTGATAGTCATGGAAACCAAACACATGATAATAATGCTCCCTCAATCCCGAGCACGTGTGACCACCAATATGGCTTCTTGCCGTGCGCGGAAAATGCAGCCGGTTTTATTTTCCAGATAATGGTATATCAAGGCCTTTTGATTTTCGGAGAAAACCAAATAGGCAGTGGGAGTAAAGTGCTGTTCAATATAATGGGAGTCGGTAAATTTGGCGGCATCATTTTTCGCATACTTATGGCTTTGCCGTCTATGGTGATGATGATCGGTAATTTTCGGAACTTTTTTTCTATAATTTCATTTTCATTTTTTCGTCTGTTACATTTCGAGTAATATCCTCTTTTTTTTCACTTTTGTAGCATAATATACTAGCTGAACAGCGTNGAGACTGCTCAGTCCCAAGTCTCACTTGGAATCGGAATTTACGCCGGAATTACAGTCTTCAGCCTCACGGTCCAATGGGGCATATGCGTAATATTAGGTAGAAAAGGTCTAAAAGACAAATCAAATGAAAATGCTCAAACCTCAATCAGCTCAAATTGCTTGCCTGCAAAAGAAAAACTCATTATCCTCAAAGGTAATTTCGAACAACAAACTAAAACGAACAATAGAAGTTAATTATTCGCTAAAACCTTCTAATTTTGTTCTGTATAAATTAAATCTCAGATACTGGTGTCGAAATCGACCAACAGACCCGTTACACAGCTGGCATAATGCTGATGTCATTGATTCCTTACATCATAGTCCAGCTGGAAGATTTTCTCCACACCTCGTCTGGAGACCGCATCGTAACTTTGATAGCACTAATCGTGTCCGCCTTGTCATTATTCTCGTATTTCGCCTATCAGGTGGATTTTATCGAAAAAGCTGAAATAATCGATCAGTAGATAAAATTTTAGATAGTCATTAACAGTGAATAGATTGTATACTATTGCCACAGGTTTTGTATCCATGGATGCAGCAAAGGAGTTTAGACTACTCAAAGTACGAAATTCTGCGTACCGGGTTTTTAAAGCACGTGCAGCGCCAGGGGAAGCTCGTCACTGAAGATGGCAAACTCAACATCTCTCTCATTCAAAAGTAATACAAAAATTCGTATCGAACTTACAATTTTCAAGATTTTCTAACATTCTTTCAAATTTATTTTACTTTTTTTTTTTCAGGCTATTTGACGATGCAGATAAAGACAACAACCAGCGGATAGGGAAGGCCGAACTCGAGAGCTTGGTGCTCGATATCATCAAGACGGGTAAAGTCACGATCGACGAGGAATTCGCGCTCTCCCAAGTGATGGAAACGTTCGATTTCGACGCTGACGATAGCATCAACATTGATGAATTCACCGAAGGGTGCAAAAAATGGATAGAAGAAAACAAGAAATCGTCCGGAGGAAGCAGTAGTGACTCGACCTCGGGAAGTGTTTTTCACGAGGTGCCTTTTTTTGTAATTTGGCGTCTGCGTTTGTTTCTGTATGGTAAATGAGCCGAAAAATTTGGAGATTTAGTTACACTATGTAGCTATACAAAAACCTGACTTTTGGTCCTTCCATAGGCACAAGTCGATCAATTTGACCGGATATGTTAGTCGGCTGTCACGTGTACGAAAAAAAAAATAAAAAAATAATATCCACGTCAGAAACTGATCACAAGACCGGCTTTTGCTGGTGGAAGGACCAAAAGTCAGGTGTTTTGTAAAGTCAACGCGATCAGCGGACTATTTCTCAATTAGGTGTCAATTACAGGACTACATCTCCAATTTTTTCATAAATGAACATAAGTAGCTAAGAAATTCGATCTATATGTATACAGCTGTTTGAGCTATTCAAGGAAAGAAAACACGACGACACACAAAAAACGGTATGTACATACATTCGTCTGTGTCTTTTGTTCAAAATCTTTTTATCATTGAAGAAGAATACAATTCCATAACCAAACATTTTTTTTTTTTTTTTTTTTTTTTTTTTTTTTTTTTTTTTTTTCTCTTGCAGATTGTGTGGCAACAAGCAGTGCACAACAAGTGGGCTCTTTTCAAGTCTATATTTCAACTCTTGCTGGGGATTGTTATGTTGACCTTTTTGGGAGGGCCTCTAATGGGTAGCATATTGCAGTTATCATATGCCATGGGATTCCCATCTTTCAGTATATCATTCGTGATTGTACCATTTGCCATGAACGCACGAGCTGTATTAGCAGCGATTTTCCCAGCCAGCCAAAAGAGTACAATAACTGCTTCTTTGACATTCTCAGAGGTAGATATCACTCTCCACTATAAATATACATTTGTTAGCATATTTTGGAAAAAAAAAAATAAATAAAAATTGTTCATTGGAGCTAAAACGAATGATTTAATTAACCCGTTTTGAATTTGTGGACAGATATATGGTGGGGTCATTATGAACAATATTGCAGGACTTACAACATTGTTGGCGATTGTGTACGCTAAAGACTTGACGTGGGATTTTTCAGCCGAAGTTTTGACGATTTTGGTCGTGTGTGCGATTGTAGGCATGCTGGCATACTCGAGCACCACTTATCCTCTGTGGACTTGCATATTGGCATTCTTTCTGTATCCTTTTTCCCTGGGATTGTTTTACTTTGTTCAGGTTTTCTTGAGTTGGAACTGACACGTTCATGAACTGGGTTATTTTCTCTGTACTTCCCTCATTCTTTACATGTTCTTCTGTTGTGTAATCTTTCGGATTACTGTTATCACACAAGAGGAGAAAAATAAAATAGAGGTCACATCATAAAAGAGTTCGTTGTGCACTTCCCCAAACGTTTGTAAACAAAAAAGTATGAAATTCCTCTGTATGTCAATATTTGAGAAGCTACAAATCAGTACCAAAGCAGCCATAATGGTATACGACATGATAAATGAGTTGCAAAAAAAAAAAAAAAAATCATAAAAACAGAGAAGGGATAATAGAAGTGGTGTCTGTAGCACTTTGAGGTACTCATACTTTTCAAAGAAAACTGCAGTTGTGTTGTGTTTTTAGGCTAAACATTAGGGTTAGTTTTATGAAGAAACTAATGTATTCAGAGGCGACTTCAAGGCCATAATTCAACCATACCCTCGTGAAAATCTTATGGCTCATATTACGTATAAATTACTATTATGGGCTCCGTAATCAAAGGAATGGAGCAGGTATCTATGGCTCTTTCAATCTAGACAAAAATGCATATAAATAATACATTGTTGAGCAAGTAACAAATCAAGTGATAAAGCAGAAAAGTACACGATGCGGAATAAAAAACCAACCTTTAGAAACATTTCTAAGGGAGCACGTAAAAAACTGAATTCTACTGCAGCCGAACTTGGAGTTGGTTTGGAGTTGGTTTTGTCCCATTTTAGTGCAATCACTGGGAATACCGTGATACGATGCTGCATAAAGAAACAGAATAAATCTGTCCAAATCAATTATACAATAATCGATGCAAATTGCGAAAGCTATTCAACTGTGCATCAGTAAACATACCATTCTTCTTTTTCCTTTTTTCTGCTTCTCCATAACATAAAATCCTGCAACTCTTTAGAAGAATGCTAAACGTATTGTACCATTTTACGAAATATTTCTATTATCTAGAGTATCTTGGTAAAATATAGCTCATACTGTGCAACCAAGGTTGAAGCCATTGCAATTGATGTTTTCCTAAAGAGATAGATATTGAAACTAAAAGGAGTAAAATGGGTAAAATAATGAAAATCCATTCCTGACACTAAGAACACTAGAACGTATAAACTTGTTAGGCATATGCAACTGAGTTATATAAAGTTAGAAGCTGAAAGTTTATGCATAGGCCAAAACCCTACACAGTGTTTGTAGGGATCTACTTTTAGGGTTGGTAATGGCCAATTGTGCCTTCCTACAGTTCATTGAGATACAATTGACTGCAACACACTAAATGTAAACATCATGTTTCTCATGATTTTAACTGATGAACTTACAAACATGCATGGCGTAAATTACTAAATTCGAGTTGTTTCGCATGCCAAATTATGTTTCACGGTCCAATACATCGAGAGAAACCAAATGTCAGGCCACAAATACTACAAATAATATCTCCAAATGAAGATATAATGTACAAATGATATTCAAGATGTTATGTCACATAACATCATATTATACATTTCTCAAATCTTAGATTTGAAATGTTGGGGCCATAAATGGCCAGACCAATTCCTATCCGAACGAGGCATATTATCAAGGACACTAAATTCAGTTTTCGGATAATTAAAAAATAAATCCACAACATAATGAATGGTAATCGACAAACAGCAGAAATGAGTCCCTAAAAAGTGGTTTATATATTTACAAAGCTGGCCAACTCAAGGCATGGTAGTATCCTTCAGCACCACTCTAGGAACTTTGAATTTGGGATTTTGCTCGAGAAAATCGGGTGGCCTCTGGTAAACGATTGAAGCTGCTCTGATCAATATGCCAGCAGTTAAACCCCAAATGAGATATTTCATGTTGTTAAATTCGTATTCGAAAAAATGGATCAGATATTTGTCCCCCATCCACTCCCTTTCTTCCGATCTTCTATTTTCGTCCTATGGGGGGAAAAGGAAAATTATCAAGTGTGATGAAAATGCGCGTGGCTAAACAAATAAAATGGAACAATAACAATACCTTGAGAAACATTTCCAAGGGAGCATCAAATACAGATTCAACCTCAGCAGCATTAGGAGAAGGGTCAAAGTCTTTCTTGTTCGAGAGTATGCCAATAACAGGAATCACCCTAAGGAGGTGCTGCATATGTGCACTAACGGGGTCAAACCATAAAATCACACAACATAAAGCATTAGAGGTTCCAATAATTATTTTTTGTGGTGCATAGGTAAAATCTAGCATTCTAATTATGTCTTTCTTATGTAACTAAAATGAAAAGAATTACGAATACACCTCCTCTATTCTGAGAATCGTTTAAAGTCAACCTTTACAGCAATTTCACTCTTAAATAAAAATCGTCGCTTAATTTATTCAGAGGCCCATTAACATGAACGGTTCACATATCTATAATAATATATACAATTACTAGGCATATAATAGATGGATCCTTCAATTGTCTCTTTCAAATTCTGAAATTGTTGTGCTCTACAAATTTCACATAACAAGGTTCCGCATTCCTCAGAACGCTTAAGTTGAGCATCAACTATTCATATAACTATAAAGCAAAATCAGGACAAAGTTATAAATTATGGCGGAATACAAGAAAAAAACTTTCTTCTCAGAAGGATGAAAATTTTATACCTTTGATAAGAATGGTTCGAGGCAAGATACAATATTAACAAGTGAAGGGTCCAATCCTATCTCCTCTTTTGCTTCCCTTGTTGCGGTCTCGGCATCATTTGCATCTGTTTCTTCTGCTTTCCCGCCAGGCAAAGAAACTTCACCTGTCTTCATCAGACAATTTATTAAACAATAGAACAGATAACAATAAAAAACTGCATTCATATCCCGTGATACAATATTAACATGAAATGTTAGGTCACAAATCAACTAAATTTCCACCATTTCAACAAATTCTCTCAACTCCAATTGTTTGAACCCGGTTTTGAGCAGCTTTAGATACGACCATAAATCCGAATCACTGATTCATTCCAATCCTCAATCATCTTAACCAACATCGGACAAAAACAGAACTCTTTTTGCTCGAAATAATTCCATATAAACTCCCCGAAATTGTCATTATAATAATTGAACGAAATGCAATCAGACAAACCAGAATGAGTAGAAAGTCGCGAGGATCTCTTGGTTAGGAAAACCCTTAACTCCCCATCATCTCCTTCGAACAGGCAAATGAGGACGGCGGCTCGTTTGGGCCTGAACCTGTCAGCGGGCTGTTGGGCCACTGGGGTTGCAGACTCCGCAAAGCCCACCTGCGAGACGACTTTCCCTGCGCTCTCCTCGATCCGCTGCTCCTCCTCCTCATCGTCGTCGCCGTCGGGCGGCGGCGGCGGTCTGTAGAGACGCAGCTGTTGTGCCAAGGCCACGAGCCTTTTGGAAGGCCCAATGCCGTTGGATGCGCCGGGATCCATGACGACGAGCTTGGTGAGGGAATTAGGGATTGGAGTTGACAAAAATGGCGTTGCCGACGATGAGAAAAGGGGCGTTGTTATTAAGGAAGCTGAGCTTCTTCTGAGTAGTGAGAGCACGTGGGTGGAGGTACTGTAAATTAATGCTTGATTCATAAATGCCTTTAATGGCCGCTGGGATCAAGTGATGAGCTCGCCATTGATTTTTGCCGTGTAATTACAGAGTCGAGCCGCGAGCACCTGTAATTTCGGTGTCTAAGGGGGCGATTGAATATGAATTCAACTAGTAAAAAATTGGTTTTTTTTTAACTATAGTTAAATTTTAAAAAAGTAGTATGGTTAGTTGTTATTAGATATATTAAAATAATATTTAAATTAAAATAATTAAAGTTGATTTGATGTAAAAGTAGGAGAAAATGATTGGAAGTGATAGTTAGTTAAAATTATGTGAGTGAATGAATAGTGAATTAAAGTTGATGTGATGTGTAATAATGATTGGTTAATATTATTTAATTATATTGATAATATTGGAGATAGTAGAGTTGAGTTAAGGTTGAGTTAAATTTGAGTTTTGAGTGAGATATTTACTGTTGAAATTATATACAATCATGCCCTAATTTTCTCTCTTTTTGATTGCAAGTGTTTCAAAAATCAAAATACCTATAACAAGACTTTTCTACGCAAACCATTGTAATTCATGGTTGGATGTTTGTTATGGTATCTTTAAAAAAATTGAAGTAATAAACTTATAAAACAATCAAATAACTTAAATTGTAAAGAGTTTTTTTTTTTTTTTACATACAAAAAAATATTTCTAATCTAATTTTGTATGCATGTGCAAAATATATCAACTATCCATATTGCATATAGACTAAAAAGAGTAGGTATATCCATCTGAATATTTAAAAAACAATTTACACATCAATATTAATTGAAGAATAATAAATTATTATTTAGTGAATACTGATTTATCGATTTTGGGATACCATAAATCTATATCTATATCTATATATATTGAAAGAGATTGACGGAATAATCTAAATAGTAACTGTGATTTTTTAATAAATAGGTTGACTTACTATTAAAATAAAAATAATTGATGGAATAATTTAGAATGTAGATGATGTTGTGTACTTCTGCAGCTATAGACAAATACTATTTATAGGACTTTCATTTTACGTAGGGGATGACACCAGTCACCTGTCACTTATGACAAGTAACATCCCACTTAAGGTTGTTCTATTTGGCAGAGAAACGGTTAGGCCGTTTTCAGATGATAACACTCCAAACCCAACTCAATTTCGATTTTATCTTAGACTTCAATTTCGCATGAACTTGCAGCAAAATGATTATAGGGGTTGGGTCCAAGCCCAAGACCGTCCCAAACCGCCAATAGTCTAATTGCCAAGTATCAAGGTCGAAGTCCCCAAGCCATACCCGAGCCCTACTTGCCGCCGAAGTCATCACCAACACTTTGTGCATAGCTTTGTTGTTCTGACCTCACCAACTTTTTTTATTATCACAAATATAGTTAATCTCATTTAATAGTCTAATGTGGGGTAGCACTTTTGACTCTTTGAATCCTACAATCATCGTTTTACGTGTTCATTTATAGCTAACGTTAATCATTTATTTTCTTACGCACCGAAAATCAGTTTTGAGAAAATAAATCTACCACGAGTATCTACTCAGAACTTAGAAATTTTCTACATAATTCAATTCAATCTGAATTAAATATTTAATCATAAAAAAAAAATTAGCCAAACTCGAATCAAACTCAATTTTTTCATACTTGACTTTCCAACAATGCTTAAACTCGAAAACCCTTGCAATTATACGTAGTGGTGGATGTAATTGATGATGTACCTACAGTTGATACAGAAAAGAAACACAATTGATAATTATAACTCATATGGTTAAAAACTTATAATGTTTTGACATAATAGATGATGAATGTAAGAAACGGAGGCAAAACGGGTGCGGTCCCACACACGTGAAATGCACCATAAACAGAAAAAGTCCAGATGAAGCCCAAGTGGGTTTCCATCCCAAAATCAATTGATGGAAGGAGGAATAGCCCATTAGACTAATAAAGTAGGTCTATTTTTCCTGTATAAACACTGTGGGACAACTCACAAGTGATATTCTAACACGCCCCCTCACTTGTGAGTCCTTAATAAGAAAGCCCAAGCCTATATACGGAGCTGGCAAGCCCTACTAAAAACAGGCTCCCATAAACAGGAACGTGGGGGGAAAACGGGTACGTCATCGCATGGTCTCACCTAGAACCGGCTCTAATACCATGTAAGAAACGGGGGCAAAACGAGTGCGGTCCCACGGATGTGAAACGCACCATAAGCAGGGAAAGCCCAAATGAAGCCCAAGTGAGTTTCTATCCCAAAACCAATTGGTGGAAGGAGAAATAGTCCATTAAACTTATAAAGTAGGCCTATTTTTCTTGTATAAACAATGTGGGACAACTTACAAGTGATATTATAAGAATGAAAATTGAGATGTATGTTTAATAGTGATGCAGTGGAATGCAAACGGTGGGTGTAAAAAGAGAAGTTTTCTTCTCTGAACTGAAGAAACCGATGTTTTCTTTTCAATCTGATATTCAACTGCCTGCCTAGAACATATCTGTTTAATATATATATATATATATATATATATATATATATATAACAACATATTCCTAACCAACATATATTGCAACATATTCCTAACCAACATTATTTAAAAGCCCAAACATAATAAACATAATACAACATAAATAAATAAACACATAAATAATAGTAATACATATAATAACAATCAAACTAAAGGCATACGTCGATAATATTTGTCGAGATATGCTAATGCAATCTCGTCAGCATCATTCTCCTCTGGGTGGAGAGGATTCGCCCTCGAATCCACAATCTCGTCGGTGTCCTGAGCGACCCAGTCGACAAAATAACCTACGTCAAAGACCATCGAGCGACCGTCCACCAAGCCGGATAACTCCCTACACTGCTCGGCACGAGAGACGAATAAAACCAGAGACGATGATGGCAAAGAACCAGAACTGGATGACGACGGATGCAGGACTATGCGAACACCCTCAAATAAAAAACTATATGTGTTGAGGCGTCCATCATGAACCACCGAGCGATCAAATTGCCAAGGTCGTCCTAATAACACGTGCCAAGAATCCATAAGAACGACGTTACACCATGTCAGGTCCTTATAAGAGGATCCGATAGAAAAGTTCACCAACACGCGTCGAGTGACACGAACATAATCATCGTGTTGTATCCACGCAAGAGCATACGGATCCAGATGAGGCTCACTTAACAACCCAAGTTTCGTGACGGCTTCGTTCGAAATAACATTCTCGCAGGAGTCAGAATCAATGACAAAACGGAACACTCGGCCGCCAATGGTGCATGTGGATTCAAAAAGGTGGTGTCGCTGGACCTTTTCCTCGGAAGATATGTGAGGAGAAAAAAGAGACCGACGAAGGACAAGCGCGTGACCCACGTCTCCCGACACATGCAGCTCTGGAACTTCCGACTCTTTATCAAAAATTGGAGGACCATCGTAAACAGTCGAATCTGGCTCCTCAACAATCAACGCCCGTGACCCTCTCGCCTTCGGGCACTGAGCCTGGCGATGTCCCGGCTCACCACAAGTGAAACAGTGCAGCCACTAGACTGCCGATTGCCACTCCCCATCGTGGGGCCAACTACACGGCCATCAGAAGGAGCACCCAAATCGAACTGAGCCGGCGTAGATGGCGCGGTACCTGAAATTCAAATAGTCTATTTTGCATATGGCGCAAAATAAGTGCCTACCTTCCAGGCTTGCTACTGCTCAACCAACAATGCCCGTTGATGTGCCCTGAAACGGAATCGGAAGTAAACAGGTTCAGTGTATCCTGGATCGAAAGACGGAGCCCACCCATATACCGTGAAACCAACTGATCCGGAGTTTCACGAATATCCACCCGTGCGAGAAGTTTATAGAATTCCTCAGTATAGTCGTCCACACTGCATCGACCTTGTCGAAGATTTTGTAAGCGCTGATACAATGTACGAACAAAATTAAACGGTAAAAATTCCCGTTCAAGATACTTACGAAACTTGAACCAAGAAGTGATTTTTGGCTTGCCCTGACGATGCCGCACACTCTTCAATTGTTGCCACCACGCAGCCGCACGATCCCAAAGTCGGGTAACAATAAGCGCCACACGACGATCATCCGGAACGACCTTATAATTGAGAGCGGATTCAACGGCGGCCAACCAATCGAGGAAATCTGCCGCATCCAAACCTCCAGTGAATTCCGGGATTTTAACACGAAAAGCCGACTCCCAACGATTATCAATTTCAAATTCAGCCCTAGGCCTGCGAAATAGGTATTAGTGTTATATACTGAAAGCTTGGCTTTGCATGTTATTACACATTTACCCTTTATGAATGAGAATCGTGTTAGATTAAACAAGTTCTACCTTCTGTTGTTCTGCACTTAGATAGGGTGGGTCGTCATCGGGCGAACCGAAGATCACTCTATCAGTCACTTGCGAACAAGAATAGTTGTTCACAACCTAGATGGACAAGAACACCCCATCCGAACGGTAGTAGTATCAACTGTACAGTTTGTCTTGACTGATTAGTTGCACTAGTACATTTATGTATTGAACAGGATCCCAGAGAGGAGAAGTTCATTTTATACTGATCGTCGTAAATGAACTAGGCCTCGGTTAATTACTGCGTTCTCTTAACCCGTAAGATATTAAACAGGCAGATATATATAATATATATTACTTTGATTCACATGGGTGAGGTTCAGTTCGCTGGATTAATATTCCTACTGTTTTGGGTAATATTATTATATATAGGATGTACTGTTAGGATATTTACGGTCACCATGTGCGTTAGTTTGATGATGTCCCCGGAGTGAGTTCATGAAAGATTGTTATGCTAAACCCTGCAGGTGGATTAAGTTCCGGCATAATAAAAATGTGATGGACGAGCGCTAGCTTCGGTGAAATAATAATAAATTAATTAATTCTAGATTGTCAGTAATCGAATTAATTAATGGACATTATATCTTAAACGTGGGGAGGTAAATCGAGTAATTATTATTGGAGTCTCAAATGTAATTTGGGCTAGGAAAAAGAAGTGCAATAATATAATGTTGGTGGCCCATTAATATTATTTAATTAATTAGAGGAGTGGGTTTAGCCCACAGTTAGT